TCCCAAAAATGTTCTCCTATGTTTTCTTAAGTTTTATAGTTTTACATTTCACATTTAATTCCATTTTACATAGACCTTTTTTTAAATATGGTATGAGGTTTAGGTCAAGGTTCATTTTCTTGCCTATACTGTCCAATTGTTCCAGAACCATTTGTTGAAAAGACTGTTCTCCCTCCATTGAATTGCTTCTGCACCTTTGTCAAAAATCAATTGGGTATTATTTGTGTTGATCTATTTCTGAGTTCTCTATTCTGTTCCCTCAATCTGTCTATTCCTCTGCCAATACCACACTGTCTTGATCAATTAAGCTATATATACTAGGCTTAACATAAGGTAGAATGACTCCTCCCACTTTCTTCTTTGTTTTTTTTTTCAATATTGTTTTAGCTATTCTAGCTCCATTCATGCTGTTCATTTTACTTTACTGTACTGCTTATTCTTGCTTTTAAGGTCCTCCCTATGCCTAGCAGAGGTATGACAGCCTGAGAAAGAAGAAAAAAGAATCAAGAAGAAAAAAAATTGTAATATAGTACCACCACTCTAAAACACTACCCATGTAATTTCTATCCATCTATCCCAATCACATCCCAGTTTCTTCATGAAAGGTTCTCTACTATTCCAGCCACTTTAGTTGTTTTATTTTTGTTACTGAGGTATAGTTAATGTACAACAGTGTATGTTTCAGGTGTACAACATAGTGAATCACAATTTTTAAAGGTTATACCCCATTCACAGTTATTATAAAATATTGGCTATATTCCCGTGTTATACAACATATTCTTGTAGCTTATTTATTTTATACTTAGTAGTTTGTACCTTTTAATCCCCTACCCCTATCTTGCCCCTCCCCACTTCCCTCTCCTTACTAGTAACCACCAGATTGTTCTCTGTACCTGTGAATTTGTTTCTTTTTTTGTTATATTCACTAAATTGTTTTATATTTTATTCCACATATAAGTAATATCATACAGGGTTTACCTTTCGCCAGGCCACTTCAGTATCTCTAAATGCAATAGCTAATATATCTCTACTACTCATTAGTAACAAGTCATTTACCTCCTTTTGATATTTATAAATATATTTGTGTCCAACACAATGTGTATTCTCAAAGGACATGGTCCATGTTTTAGAATTCTTTATATTCCTCCATAAGCTTTAATAAACATTGAATTAAGGATTATTTATCTAATTGGAACTTACAACACAGAGAAACTAGAACATCTAGAACAAGAGTAAAAAATTAGCCAATTGCTACATTGTTCCTAGTAATAAGATCATTATCTCACTAGATCTCAAGATTTTAAATTTAATCTCATTTCTCAATTAAATTGATATAAAAGTATACTTCTAGGCTTTTTTCCTTTTTCTTGGTGAGATAACTTAGGTAAAGAAAGAGAAGGTAGTGAATACTGAATTATGGTGATTTCCTTTTTTTCTCCTTCTGTTTGCCAAAAATGTCACTATACATCTAAATTTTAGGGCCATAAGATATGATTCACCCCTAATATATCAACACCATGTATATCTACCCAAAAAGTAAAATGACCCAAGGGATTAGACTATTGATTTAAGTAAATAATGTAAAATGTAAAATGGAACTAGTAGAAGAATTTACCAAATCCAATTTCCTATGGTCCTAACTATATTAACTCTATGGGGTATTTGTGTCCTTTGGATATCATACTGAAAGGCTCTCTCTCTTAATTATCAATGCTTTGCTCACAAGATTTCAACAAAGTAAGGTGCAGTACGTGAAACAATATAGCTGCTTAATCCATGTTTTTTAGCTATAATTTACAATAACCACAATCTGCCTACCCTATGGATCATATGCCTGCTTCTTTGCTAAAACAGATATATGCACGACCCCCTCCCCAAAAGTTTTTTGTTCATTAGCTGCCTGTGAGTTTAGACTGTTTAAATAATTTAAATAAATGTAATAAAACTATATGCAGATTAGCTCCTCTTTTTCTTACAAAATAATCTATATATGTTACTACAACTTTGCTGAAACTTACTATTTTGTTCCTCTTCAATTCTTTCACTGTAATATGGGACTAGGCAGGCAGGGTAGGCTACATACAGTCAAGGAAGTTTCAGAGCCATCAGTCTTACAAGCTTTCATCTAGTGTGTCTCTGGTGCCCTCAGAAGGAATCTTCTCTAAGACCCCAAATGATGCTCTGACATTTAAGTAGATGAACTGCAATTCTCAGAATACATACATTAATAAGGCTCTTTCTAGTTCTGCCCTTTTCACTTCAACACTTTATTACAGAGACTACAATATGCAACTGCACAATGTAATATACAGTCCAGGAGGATTGGAGCCAGGAACCCCCACGGATGTGAAAATCCAAGGATGCTCAAGTCCCTCATATAAAATGGCATAGTATTTGCATATAACCCAAGGCACGTCCTCCCCTATACTTTAAATCATCTCTAGATTACCTACAATACCTAATACAATGTAAATTCTATGTAAATAGTTGTAAATACAATGTTAATGCTATAAAAATAGTTGCTGGTGCACAGCAAATTCAAGTTTTGTTTTTTGGAACTTTCTGAAATTTTTCTTCCCCTGCATATTTTCGATCCACACTTGGTTCAATCTGTGGTTGTGGAACCTACAGATCCGGAGGGCTGGCTGTACTACTATGACCTCCACCGCTAACACTATCATTCCCATCACATACAGAAAAACCCACTATTTGATTAGCAAAAATGAAGACACTTCATGGTTCGTGTGTTGTGAGAACACAGAGTAACCTGAACTCAGACACTGCCAGTGAGAACGTACACTGGTACAACCACCTCGGAAAACAATTTACTATCTCCTAAAGCTGAACACATGTGCACACACGCCTTTATTCTCTCAAGACAAGTACACCAGGAGACACGTGCTGCATATTCACAGCAGCGCTTTTCATAGCACCAAAAACTGCAAACAACCCAAATGCTGATCGAAAGAAGACTGTGGTATATTTACACAGTAGGATTTTACACACCAATGAAAAACTAATGAAGTATAGTTAAACATAACAGGGATAAATCTCAGAAACAATGTCGAATTTAAAAGCAAGTCATAAAGGACTGCATGAAATAAACTAGTATATTTATAAATTTCAAAAATGAGCAAAATTATACACATTATTATTTAAGGAAACACTCATGTAATTTTTGAAGGAAAAATAAACACAAAACTCAGTATAGTGGGGATCAGGGAGATGGACCAGTGAAGAGAGAAGGTTCAACAGGATTGATAAAGATACACTTCTTCAATTGGGTGATTGAAGCTCATTCGTTTCATTAATAAGCTTTAAAATATATACGTATGTGTGTTTTGAGTGTGTATCATCTAAAATCTCTGGAGAACTAACATTCCAGCTTCAGGACAAGTTTAGCCTACTCATAAAATGACATTCCTGAGAACTGGGAATGATGCCAAGAAATAAAATCACTCTACTATTGCTATTTGGTAACTAGTAACAAAGAAATAGCAAGTGTCTCATAAAAAATTAAAGCAAGAGGATGAGCAAGGGAAGTGAGGGTGGCTATAAAAGGGCAACGTGAGGGATCCTTGTAGTGATGGAAACGTTCTGCATCTTGACTGTATCAGTGTCAATATCTTGCTTGGGGGGAGAAACTGCATAAAGCCTACATTGGCTCTCTCTGCATTATTTCTCCCAACTGCATGTGAATCTCCAATTATTTCAAAAGTGGTTTTTTTTTTTTAAAGAAAACATTTTTAAAAAAGATAATTTTTGTCCAGGATTTCTCCACCTTGGTACTACTGACATCTTGGTGCACCTAATACTTCATTGTAGGGGGCTGTCCTGGGCATTGTAGGGTGTTTAACAACATCCCTGGCCTCTACCTACTAAACACCAGTAGCATGTCCCAGTTGCGACATCTCCATACACCGCCAAATGTTCCCTAGTGGGCAGACTGCGCCATTTGAGAACCAATGCTCCAGTCATAAAAGTGAAGAACTGTGGAAATATTCTCAACTGAAGGAGACTAAAGAGACATGACAACTAAAGTAATACCTCATCTTAGGCTGGATCCTGTACTAAAGAGGAAAGAATGCTATAAAAAAAACATTATTGGGTCAATTAACAAAAGTGGACTATCAATGGTAGATTAAATAAAAGTACTGTACCAATATTAAAAGTTGATTAATGTAGTTATGTAAAGAATATCCCTATGCTTATGAAATGAAGTACTTGGGGGTAAAGGACCATGTCATATGCAATGTACCCCAAAATGATTTAGGAAAAATATGTGTGTGTGTATGTATTTTGTTTACATATACATGTGAATAGTATACGTATATATGTATACCATAGGCGAATATGATTATAAAGTATGTTCTTTATATTATTTTTATTCTTGCAAATTTTCAGTATGTTTGAAATTATTTATTAATAAAAAGGTGGAGTTTTTAAAAATGCAACCAAAAGTTGTGGTCCTTAAAGTCCTAATGGCAGATTTCACAGTAGTAGTTCAGCGTAAGTGATAAAAATACCGAGGGGAAAATGACTACTGACTAGATAAATTCCTAATTCAAGCCTGAGACAAACGTTGCAAGTAACTAACTTTCGGCCTATCTCCCCCTCCCCATTCTTTCTAGGGGTGACCTCTCGAATAATGCGGAACCAAAAATAAACCTATCCCACTTTTAAAAGACTATTTCTAGGAAGTGACTCAAACCCACATCCCTACTCGATTTCTCCACAAATCACTGTGACTTCACCTTCAGTAGTTAAGAAGCAAAAACGCGAAAAGCGCACGTGTTCTCATTCTTCCTCCGCAGAGTTAGTAAGTTAAGGTGAGTAGAGTAGAGAAGACACAACATCGAATGCCTAGGATGGCTGAGAAAAGGCAGAGGTAAAAAGGGATAAGCAGGAAGTCAGTCTCAGAGAGGGAGGAAAGGGTGTATAGGCCAGGAAAAAGGACCCGAGGGGGTGCGAGTGTGTCAGGGCGAGAGGGAGTAGCTCACCTGGCTGTGGTAAGCAGAGGGTGCTGAGTCCCCACCAGCTTCCGCACCTGCATAGCGATGTTGCTGAGCTCGTCGCTCAGCAGGCAGCGGAGGCTCATGAAGGACGTGGGGTAGCCCACGATCTTCTCCGCATCTGACACCACTTGGTTCCAGTGGGCCGGGGACCTGGAGGACTGAGCACGCCAGGAGACCACCGAGGAGATGGTGTCGAGGGGGCCACGTCGGGGACCCGAGGCCCCGAGATAACAGGGCAAGCGCAAAAGCAGCTGCCGAAGGCTCATAGTTTGAGTCTGGGGGTGTCAGGGACTTGAGGGTGTCCGGAGGTGGCGCGGGAAACAAGCTAGGAGCAGATGAGGAACTTGCGGGAACTAGAAGGAAGCAGCGCTTCTTGACCCTCAGAGGAGGGTGGGTTTCTGAAGCCGTGACCAGAAACGAACTTTAACTGCAGCTTTCTGCAGCCTGGGTTAGACAGACAACAGCCCCAAGTCAGCGCTGCCCACGGCCATCTAGGGTAGCAGCCACAGAACCGCCTAAGTGGGGAACGCCATATTGTGAGCGTCAAACGCGGCTTGCCGTAAAGACGGAGGCGGGCTGTTCTGCGGCAAAGAATTTTTTCCTACTTTACGGCGCAAACGTGAACGGCCCGGAGAGGCGGGGCTTTGGAGGTGAACCCCGGAAGGCGAGGTAGGATGAAAATGTCAGCTCCTCCCACTTTCTCGTCCCTGCGAGGACCGAGGGTGACAGAGATCGCGCTGTGGGCCCCGAGTGGTGCCCCAGCCCCTTGAAACTGGGACGAGTCTGAATCGTCGTAGGATTCCCAGCGCCCAGCGCAGAGTGGGCACGCATAAATATGTGTCGTGAACGAGGGTCGGTGTCTACTAATGGTCTTTTCGCGGCCTCCAGCCCTCCGGAAGGAAGGGCTCAGGCGGAGGCGCCAGCTCCTCTGGGAAGCCATCCGCCGCCAAGCCCTGGCAGTGGTGGTGGACTGGCGTGAGGGCCGCCTCTCGGACTGTGGGGCTTCAGGAGCTGTGGGCCACGGCTCATGTGGAGTGAGGTGGGAGGCAGAATCCGGACGTGGGGCTGAGCGCTCGTGACCTCTGCTCCCAACCTAGGAAAGGTGACGTAGCCCTGCAGAAAGGGTGTTTTTTGTTTTTTATTTCCCCAGGGTGTGTCCTCATTCCTTGTGTCTGGCCGCCGCACTGAGCCTCAGTTCCCATGTGTACAGCTCAGGCAGAACCAGCAGTGCCCCCTGAAAGGGTGCAGAGAGACACTTCTAGAAGGAAGCTCCGCACACCGTCGAGAATCCAAAACTACCACTGACTCTAGTGCTTCCACTTACAAACAACTCATGTATTAGTTCATTTAATCCTCAAAACAACCCCGTTAAGTAGATAATATTAGTATTCTCCGTGTTTTACATGAGGAAACTGAGGCACAACCAAGTCGTGTAAATTGCCTAAGGCCACACTAAGCAGGAAAGTAAACCTAGGTAATCTGGTTTCTGAATCCATGTTCTTAGCTACAACATTACTGTCTAAGTAACAGGTTACCAACCACTTATTGTTGTCAGTGTGGTCCTGTAATGTTACCTATTCTTTATCATGTATGTCTAGCATCCTGCCCTCTTTCTCATCACCCAAAACAAGTGTTAACAAACCCTTGTTAATAATAAAGACATATTACCGAGTTTTACACCCTAAAAAAATAGCTTGTAAAACTCTCTTTAACTTTCAAACTCCTTTCAAATTCATGATTGATATTTTTTAAAATTAGCATCATGCCTAATACTGGACTAGACTCGGGCTACATAAAAAAATTCAGACTTAAAAACGGGCAAATTAAGGAGTAATTATTCACTTTGCACAAAAGATGCTTTCCCTAAAAAGGTTTAGCCTCAGACTCCCTTTGAATGGCAAATTTCCCTTGTGATTTAACAATCCAATTTTATTTCCAAAAATTCAGTTTAGGCATAACTTTTCAAGGGTACATTTTAGATAAAGTGAATTATGCTCATAAGTATTAAAAACAGTCTGGCCCAATAAATAAGGCAGGCTGAAGTTCAAAAACAATTCCTGTGAAAGAGATAACACACTCCCGGCAATAAAATTCAAGTCTGTTCTAGATGAAAATAAATGTGGAGAGTGAGATACCTTACCATTCTAAAAAGTTCCAAGGCCTGAGCTTCTGGGTTATCCAAGGTGAAAGAAGTCGTGAAAAAAAGGAAGGGAGATAAGGACTGAATGTGATATATTGTGCACCTGAGGTTGTTTCTTTAGCAGCATGGTACTTTAAGACTAACTTTTCATGCAATTTCCTTAATACCAATTCACAACATGTACTTTAATTTCTCCACAGAAGCCAAGAGCATTATTCTCTGGTCATACTCTATTAACCAAGTTTTTGATTATTCATGGGACTTTTAGTCCCATTTACTTTAAATAAATAGCACTTTCCTTTATTCTTAGAGTTAAAAGGTTGCATTATACCTAATGATAATCAGTTTTTAGAAGGTTAAAATGGTACTTATTATTTAATCTTCCAGATCAATACATAACTCAGAGTCTGACTAAAGAGATATCTGACTTGCTAGTGACTTCTGGAGGTGCAGAGAGGGAGAATCTGTGACTCTGCCCTTCCTCTGTCACTGATAATAGTCATTTTGAGGATGTCTGTGAATGTGTGCATAAAGGAAGAGTACAGCAGGGTTCCTCACCTTGGCACTAATGACATTTTGGAGCAAATAATCCTTTGTTATGGTAGGCAGGGGGCCGGGGGTGAAGGCTGTCCTGCGCATAGTAGATGTTTTGCAGCATCCCTGCCTTCTACTCACTAGGTGCCAGTAGTACCCCTCTCCAACCAGATTTGTCTGAGGACCTGGCCAAATATCCCCTGGGGGGCAAAATCGCTCATAAGAATGCAGGAAAATGGGAGATGCTGAAAGAAAAAAATTCCCATCCATGACATTTACTCCTACAAAGCAGCAGAAGAGGTCCTGGGTGTGAGCAGCCCTGCAGATTAGAGAGGAGTCACTCTACAATCTGTGGAAACCTCCAGCCATACACAGAGACATCTCCTTGGCATTGGGATTTTTCCGGAGACAGAAAGCTGACAAAAGATGGTCACAGTTCCTCCTTCACCTTTCTCAGGATCCTGAAGCTAGTAAAGTACTAGTGGACTTCACTTGCTGTCCTCTCTGCATTCTGCTGACCTTAGAAAGAAGTGAGGTCATATTTGATGTCCTTTTCTTTGGCCAGAAACTCGAACCAGCCTTTGGAAATACAAGGTCTTAACACGGATGGTGTATGCTTTGGGCTTTGGCATTTCCATGATTAGGTGAGTGGAAATAGATAGGGATACTGCAGCCACCCTCCTATCAGCCTCAAAACAATCACCTATTGTTTATGCTAAGAGAGTTCTTCCAAAAGTAGATGAAAGCATGGCATATATCTTGGGGCAGAATGATAAAAGGAGGCAATAATATGATTAGCAAAAATCCAAAAGTTTGACCACCTACTGGGTTGGCAGGCTAGAGAACAGGGATGGTACATATTACCAGTAAGAATGTAAAATGCTGTGTAAACAGCACCTATGGAAGGGAATTTGATAATCCCTAGCAAAATTACATATATGTTTATATACTGTGTGTAATTACAATATACATTTGACCCAGAAATCCCAATTCCAGAAATCCTTCCCAAAATATAAAATGACTTATGCATAAGGTTTTTCACTGCACTATTATTTGTAATAGCAAAAGACTGGAAACAAACTAAATAACCATAAGTAGGGGACTAGCTGAATAAACTGGGGTAGATCCATACAATGAAACACTATGCAACTCTGAAAAAGAATGAGGGCCATCTCCAGAAAGTATGTCTCGTATATCTCCAGAAAATATGTCAGCTTTAAACAACAACAAAAGCACAACCAAGGTGCAGAACAGTATAGTATGCTATTTTTTTAGATAGGTGAACTACAAATATATATTTATATACATTTGGGAGGGGGGGAAAACAAGTGGAAAGGACAGGCACGCAAGCAAAGTACTCTGATGAATATACCTTGACTATATAGTTTTGACTTTAGAATCATATATATATTTTACATATTCAAAATAATTTTAAACTCAAAAGAAAAATGTGATTCCTAAAATTTGAAAACAACTGAAACAAATTACCTAACTGTATATTAAGTTGGTGGTATAATCGCACCAAGTAATTAATTTAATGACTTTAGAAAATACTGTTTTCACTGTACATTCACAGAAGAATATGCTCTCAGGATAAATAGATTTACAAAGAAGTCTTAAACTTCATTCAGTGTCTTATTGCTAGTAGAAATACAGATATTATTACTTTCAAACTATTCTTGTATATTACAGGTAAAAACCAATATTAGAGTTGTTATGAATGATTTTCAGAGTAAGTAAAATCCATGTAAGATTAAAGGTGAATTGGAAATAGTATGAACTTATGATTTTTCCTTTTGAAAAGTGTTTCTTATAACAGAAACAGACTCACAGATATAGAGAACAGACTTGTGGTTGCCAAGGGGGCAGGGGGTGGGGAAGGGAAGGATTGGGAGTTTGGGATTAGCAGATGCAAACTATTATATATAGAATGGATAAACAACAAGGTCTTACTGTATAGCACAGGGAACTATATTCAATATCTTGTAATAAACCATAATGGAAAAGAATATGAAAAAGAATGTATATATATGTATAACTGAATCACTTCACTGTGCAGCAGAAATTAACATAGTAAATCAACTATACTTCAATAAAATAAATTTTTAAAAAATAAGTAAGTACATTTCAGGAAAAAAAAATGTTTCTTATATCCCAACAAGGAAGATTTTACATTTATTGAAGAAGAAAAAAAAATTTACTTGCTTTATCCCTTGAAAAGTCCTAGAAGTAATGATAATCGTGTACCAATGAGCACCTTTAGCGTTCATATTGTACTTTTAATACATCATTTCCTATTAAAAGGAAGGACGTTCTTTGGAGGAATGACAGATATCAGGTCTGGGGCTAGAAATGTGCATGAAGAGCCTGGGACACCCTGTTGTGCCAGAAGCTATTAAAGTCTAAAGTCTAATGGGACAAGTCAAAGGGGAAATGCTATCAGCATAAAGGAGCTTCTACTGGCTGAAAAAGGGACAATCTGAGCATCGGAAAAGAGTAAGACAAGTACAATTGATTGAAATTCACTGATGACATATAAATCTTTTTCATTATTAGACATAACTAATTGAGTATTTGCAATATAATGAAAGAATTGAGCATTTATCCTGCCCTTCCTGCAAGAATTACATTTAGTGGTGTCTTAGTCTGGCTTACCCCCTTGAAAGCTGAACCTGGGACAAGGGCTTACTTTTAGGTGGTATATTTTGGACAGCAATCTCAGGAAACAGCAGCGGATGACTAGGAGAGTGAAACAGGGCAAGTCAATACAAGGGTGTTCTTGAGTTAGTCATCACAGTGGGCAATAAGGCCTTGAGCCTGCAGGGACTCCTTGAATTGCTATATAGAATATACTTCATAATT